CGAAGGAAGAAAATTATTTTTCACGTTCAACGAACGAAGGAAGCGGTAACACCGCATTAAATTCAACTCAATAATTTTTACATCACCTCAAATTATTGATAACAGCAGCTTTTGGCATTCCCGTTGTTCCCGAGGTGTAGATGTATATGAGTTTGTCCCTGGGGCATCCTAACGAGAGATCAACTTCTACAGCATCCGACGAAATATTCACCATTGACTTGTTCAAATCAACAGCACCTTCGACGACTGGAGTGTCTGGTTTCTCAGAGCTCTGGTATAACCCAACGCCAGGAAGTTTGTCTTTGATCTCATCAATCGCTGTAACACCCAGAGAATAATTATAATTAATGTCAAAGATCTATAAGATAATTAAAAAAATTCCATGCAATTATTTCCTTTCTCAGTCTTTCGTCTTTCGGTGGATTAAGCCAAGAAAGGCTTGTCTTTATTCCGATAAATATTAAAAAATCAACAAGTTGGAGAATAACAAAGAAGAAATTCAATTCATCCCGTCTGAACTCTCTTTAATTTCCATTCTCACCGTAATATTCAACGGAGGACATTGAAATTCCTTACCATCTCTCAACTCAGCACCAAAAATAACAGATTTGGAATTAGCAGCTTTAATACTATGAATTAACACATCTTTCCTGAGGTTGGTATTAACGAGTGCTCCAACGAAGCCAGCTTTGCTTAATCCCAACCACGTGCCCACATACTCCGGACGATTTTCCATTATCACTGCAACACTGTCACCACGAGACATCGGCTGGGTACGGATGTACCGGGCCAAACGATTGCTGTATTCGTCGAGCTACAGCAGGAAGTCATAATTAACATTTTAATAATCGGAGAATAATTACCAATCAAGACACAATGACACACCTGGCCATATGTCCATCTCTGATCCTCAAATATGATGACAATCTTATCAGGATTCTTCTCCACTTGTTTTGTGAACAGTTTAGCAACAGTCAGACCTTTTCTTTCCCAATACCAGAGCAGGATATTTATCTTCAGAAATCGATAAGCTCCTCTGATTAACAAAAGATAATATTAATTCGATGAATGATTTTTTTTTCAGTCTCATTCCCCTTCGCAAAAATCGACCACTCGAAAATTTTTAATAAGAATTTCATCTCCACCTTAGGAATTTATTACTCCCGTGGATGTAACGGTCTCGTGATTCATCTTGTAGGTCTCTCTAACGCTTTTTACAACATAATAACGGGGAAGTAAATATTCTGTTCTTATCGTTGTAGAATTTCACTATTAAATGCGCATATTATATTCAAGATTTTTAAGAAATATTGGATACCATAATAAGATGCTATAAAAAATGCGAAATTCACACTTTTCGATGTGTCTGGGTAAAGTGCAAATGATACAAGAAATTTTTCTCTCGGTGGAGAATAAAAATTGCCGGTGTGAAGCACGTACGACTGAATGTTTATATTCTCCATGACACAGGAAGATTTGTATGATTCAACGCGTCCGAATCCAGAGGCACCCCCTCGCCCCAAATACATAATTTAAAACTATTACATCAATTTACTCCATGCAAGGCATCATCACCCGTTGTTTCAATCTAAATAGCCGAGATTTTCTAAAAATCCAGCCGGAGTTCATTGCACACGACAGCAACTGGAATAATCCCGTTATTACGAATTACAAGTTTCTCCAGTGGATAGATGCATCTGGGTCTCAATGCAGCAGCGAAACAATCACGTACGAGAATAAGATAAAAAAATACTCCCAATGAAATGCAAGAAGTGCGTTATCCCATGAAATCCTATCATTTAAGAGTGAATTCGATTTGATAGCGAGACGAGTGGATTTCACTATCTCTGATTCAACTCAGCCAAGAGTCCATTTCAACCTAGTAATTCTTATTCATTCAAATATTTAACAGTCTAAGCACGTGAGCCTTCATCGGACTCATCACGAGTCTAAATTTACTCCGAACAGGGATTTAAAAAATTCCTATTCAAATTCACCAACTCCTTTTTTCTGCATTAATCCGAGATAATTAATAATTAATTAATTCGAATTGTCATTTGAGTAGAATATGTATCAATTAATACCGCGTATTGACCTGCAACATGGATAAATAAAAAACCAATGGGAGTATTAATTAATAAACAATTGGAAGTACTCACAAAACATCCCTCGGCAGTGTTTTACCTATGATACACAATGTATGCCATCGACTTCCGGTGAAAAGGTAGGCGACAATGAATGCCGCTATGGCCGTGAGACCAATTTGATAATATTCCATCATAACACTGACAGAATGTCCACTGATGTAAATCACTTATTCCCGGAGCTCTCGATCATTCGTGTCAATGAAATGAAAAAAAAAAACAATTTGTGATTGAAAATGTATGTCCACTCTACCGAGCCAAACAACACAATGATTTAATGGATCACGAGAGGATTGTTGATCCGTTGAGGTGATGAACCAACGTTGTGTAGCAGCTAATGCTGCTGTTCTGTGATGACTGAACGTATGAGGGTACTATCTATACGACAGCACACAATAACCACTCGTTTATTGAGATCCATGGGCGTCGCAATACCAAAGTTTATCGCACTTTCTGGGGGACTTGAATACCCACATTTTTCATCCATCAGACTAAACCAATGACTTCCATTCCAAAATGCATTCTGTAAATTTCAATCAAATGCTCAATTTCAAATAATTCATTGTATTCTAGAATATTGAAAAAAAAAATTGAGTTTATTGCATTCCTGGAATTATTTGTCCGTTTAATGGAGATCTTCACTAATTGCAACATTGTCAGTTTCAATTTAGCGAATGACATTCATAGACAGATTGCACTTTGGATTTTAATGGTTTTATATTATCAGTATGTACTCGCGTTAATTGAGATGTTAATGACCGATAAGTGATTGAAACGGTTCATTCTTTTCGTGTAGAAAAACGGTTGTTTTAGAAAAATTAATGTTTAATTAATCATGTAAAATATATACAGGTAAATATAAATACTTTGAAAATGGTTTTTTATAAAAACTGTTGTGCTCCGGTGGATTGAAGGCCGGATATCTAGTACAAAGTCGGTCAAAACTCCTGTAGATCCATCAATCAGGAATATTTTATGATCATAGGCACTGAAAAAGAATCCCAATAAATTAAAAACTATCCGATGTGTCTCTATAAAACGAGAATTAAGATATTTGAGCATTGCAACGACACCTACTATTTTCATCCAGCAAATAAAATTAAACAAGCAAATTGAAATGCGAATTTGAGTTCGAGTTCGAAGTAAAAGTTAAATTGAAACTCAAATACCTTAATTTCCTTCATGGCTTTAGGCCATGGAGGGATGACAGTTATTTGAGAACCAGATAAAGTACCGCGACATCCAAAACTGAAAATCATAGATATTTTTTTTCTCAATCAAAGCAAATTACATTCGCATCCATATCCATTTCGTTATTCAGAGATAAACGAAAATCAATGGACAATAAAATAATCCCGTAAATGCGCTCACCAATAATACACAATATAACAGTTACTGTAACTGCAATAATTATGATTCTTGATCGAACATTCTGCATCCAAGCTCTACGTTGTGCCTTTCGTGCTGCCTCACGAAATTCATTACCAGCAATATTTAATCTATCACTAGCGATTTGCAAATCTTCCAATCTCTCTCCTCGCTCCAATACTTTTTGCACGTTATCACGCATGACATCTGTTACATCCCGAATTTGAATTTTTACGCTAGAAAATAAAAATACAAGTGTCTACTCAACTACAATCTTTTCATTATCTTATCCATCAATTCCTCCAAGTACCTGTCTATTTTTCTGTGCACTCTGATGTCATCCTGAGACGATGTACTGCTACGACTGTCAATTCAATCATTATATTATTCCAATATTTGTTCGGAGAGAATTCTCAAGAGTCTTACCTGAACAGCATATCCTCATCTGGATCACTATCATGTTCCAACAATGTCTCCTGTCAAAAATATCGAATCCCATCAATCGTTATCTATTTACAGAATTACAGTAATGATACTAAAAATATCTTACCCTCTCATCAGCATTGGCATGTCTCAAATCATCACCGGTTACACTAGTTCTGCTCTTGGAGTTCATTTTTTGTTGTATTTATGCTAAACAGATTGGTCGATTGGCACTTGATCCTTTCCAGTCTTTCACAGGATGCGTCAGAAATTACTCCAATAATCGCGACACTGAGATGAGAGAAGCGACGATTTGGGTCAATCTCAGGGATTTTTCGGCCCTGAATCGACAATTATTTTGTGTACTTGCCCCTAAAAAATAGCGGATTGGAGCCACAAGTGTCATGTTCTTCACGCTGCTGAATTTTACATCAACACTGATCTGATTGTGCTCCGTAAAAGCTGCAATTCGTTGATAAAGAATGGCTTTCGCTCCGATGGCAACAGCTGATGATATCCTCCTGCTCCTCCTACCGTTGACATATTCAGAAGTGACTTTATCGACCTTTTGAATATTTAAAATAATTACCGACTCAAAGAAAAGGTAAATAGATTAAGGACCTCATCTTCGATTTTGTTGAAATTTCTGTGGTGTATGTGCCCTTAATAACTATCACTAATGATTAGAACCCTAGATATTAGAAATTTTGAAACTTCTGAAATTTTCTCATCCATCTGTTGTTGGTTTTTTAGTGGTTATGAATATCTGGGTCATTAGCAGAGAATAGTCTCGATAATAAATTATATCTTAGAATTGTCAAGAGATTTATTTACTTCCGACAGGCCCTGTACAGCCTTACACTTTAGTTTCGATTGTCCTTCCTACTACAGCCTTGGGAGATCGAGAACTCTTCAAGTTTTTTTCGTCAGGTTAAATCTACTTATCCACCATCCCACATAAACGGAGTGCAATAGGTACACGATGCAACGCCCACTTGGACTCCAACATATTTGCAAACAATTGTTTATCCATAATCCATCAGAATATTTCACGAATTTAAATTTTTTTCGGCTCTAGTGAAATGAAATAAGTGAGGCCCTTAGGGTAGTACTCCCGTATATCGAAGCAACGACGAGATTTTTATGAACATTAACATGCAGATAGACTTTGATGCAAAAATCACTCAGTTAAATTTTTTTTAGTTTAAAAAAAATCACTGAGTTGAATTTTTTTTAGTTTTAAAAAAATCACTCAGTCAAATTTTTTTTAGTTTAAAAAAAATGACTCAGTTCAATTTTTTTTAGTTTTAAAAAAATCACTCAGTTAAATTTTTTTTTAGTTTAAAAAAAATCACGCAGTTAAATTTTTTTTAGTTTTAAAAAAATCACGCAGTTAAATTTTTTTTAGTTTTAAAAATTCCAAGGATGAGTTTTCCATGAAATTTTTCAAGTTATATGTACAGATGTTAAAGAGCATTTTGCGCATTGAAAAATTTTTAATCATAGGCTATAAATATTGAAATTAATTAATTATGTGAGAAATCAAGCGATGTGGCAACAACGCTAGTCAGGCTAGATGAGCTGTCCTTACACAAACACAACACACACATCAAAATACATCACACAGGTGTACAAGCCGTTGAGCAATGTTGTCAAACCAAACTACCGCGCTAATTAAAGTCATCAATACTCTAGCTTGACTCATGCTGTACCGGGAGTACTACCTTAATCTACACATTCACCAATAAAACAATACATTAAAAAAATATAATTTAATATTAACGAATTTTTCAATATACTCTTCACAAATAAAAAAACACATATTATTTTTCAAGGGTATTTAGTATCACAGCTCGAATAAACAATTGATTCATCGTAGAATTTAGTTAATAAATGAAAGCGAGAAATAATTACGCTGCATATGTAACTTTAATTATTCATAAACATATGGTATTTATCAGTACAGTAGCCAGCCTTAAAGGGGTATTTTTAATTATTGATTGTCGAAATTTGAGTCTCTCACACTGAGAGTTCGCACAGTGAAACAGTATTAGCTGACACATAATACCGAATAATTGATTACAATTGACCACCCGTACCGCATATAGTCAGAACACAGTTGACACATACTAATCAACGAATAAATTAGACACCTCATTTGTGTCACATACAACTATCTTCACGCATAGAATTATGTAATTATCACCAATCAGGTGAGAAATTCGATTACATTTATTGACACCCCTATGGGCGTCCACAAATCACATCAAATCATAAAAAGTAAAAACAAAATTTTGAAATACAATTCAGGGGATCGAAGTAATTAAATGAGAGTCGACTTGAAAATATGAAAAAGATCTCAATTAAGGGGAATCCTAACGATTTTGAAGAAGAAAAGATTATGTTCCATTGAATCGATTTTTTATTCAAAGGAAATATTGGACTTTTCATCCTACATGGATTAACAGTCAATCTTCTCTCCGCACCATCGAACAATTGAGATTACACAATAGTACAATTTTAAATTTCTAAGGAAACATCAAGATATCGAACTGCAATAATAAAGCTCAAACATTTCGTCTCAAATTCAATCCTCAAAGGATTTTGAATTCATTCAATTGCATTGAAAGTGAAAATGTCGAACATTGGAAATTTACAATTGAATTTAAAGCCGTGAGGTAACAAAAGGCAGTGCAAATACGTTCGACAATTAATAATCCTATCTGCAAGTGTAGAATTATTTTTTACAAAAAAACGCATGACGCATAACGAATCATTTCATTTAATCGAATTTTCAAATTAGACTCATCGCATTTTCCGTATCAAATGGTACGTGATTGAAATTAAATTTATAATCACCGATATAGATATGTATTTTTTTAAGTTACGCCGGATTATAGTATAATTGACTGAAAATTAATGAGAAGATTGGAATAACTCATACAACAGTCAATCTGGATCGAAACAATTCTAATTAGTAGAAAGCGAGGAAATTATTCTCCCCTCATTACGTGATTAGGCCGCAGCTACTTGTTATTTTCTTCGTATTATGTATCCAATAATCTCATATTATCCACGAATCCTAAACAAATTCCCTATTTACAAGATGAAATAAATAATTCGGGTAGTGCTTAAGCATATACAAAATTAAAAATTCAAAAACATTATTAATTTAACATCACACCATTAATCATAGTCACGCCTTTATGGAGAAATTTCAGAGAGTCTAGTCTACTTTATATTTCATTATCGATACATCGAACTCATTGTGATGAAGTTTATTATTTTTAATACTTTTCTTATTAGAAGACGACCAGCGTCTGGACGATTCCAGCATCCTCGAAATTATTCTGCACACGCTGCACGCAATGCAGAAAATTTCATATTATTACCCTCGTCTATTCAATTTATTCATCTAATTCATCTACTCTTATGATAATCAATCAAGCAATTAGTTTA